TATGCCAACCAATCGAATGCACCCCTGTATTCTTCCCAACTCTGTACAAAATTCTACAAAACGAGTGTAAAAGACATATGCTTATGCTCCCTCTCTGGAATGCCATTTTTGAACTTTCATTTTGGCAGTTCCCAATTTGCAAATCTTTAAATCTGGGTAAAACTCTTCTTTTACAGAAAACTCTTTAATTTTTAACACCTTTCTCACACATCTGTTAGGGGTCTTCATCCACTACTTTACAAGGTAAAGAAAATGAAGATATAATCTGAGCTAACAAAACACTGCCCACCTCAGAGTAAATTATCATAAAATGGTTTGATATATGGATTTATGCCCGCTATCATCAATGACAAATTCTGCTCTTTGAGTAACTTGTGCCTGGAGCTATTAGCCACTATGGTTAGCAAGACATTAAATAGTATTTATTCCAACTTAATTTCATCCTTTTACAATTTCTTGTCTCATGTATGTTTTATAAGGGACGCCATAAGCACCATTTTACAATGTGTAAATAAGTATTAAATGTAATTATATTGGTGCTATGTGATTAAAATCATTTTTATTGATGGAGTTTGCATTTTAAAAAGTGTAGAGGCCCCTGAGCGAATGTAAATAATTAAGTAATTGACTTAAACTTGGCCACGCAGTAGATGCTCAGTAAAAAGCAATGGTTATTATTAACATTTTTCCATTTATTAAGTACTTACTACACACAGTTTTTTCACAAATTAAAAAAAAATTATTATGGAAAAGTTTAAACACCCAACACATTGAGAGAATAGTTTTATGAACTCTCATGTACCCTTACCGAGCTTCCACAATTCTCATCATTTTGCCAGTCTTTTCTGTCTTCTTCCTACTTATTTTTCTGGATTATTTTAAAACAAAGCCCACCTCATTTCAGCTGTAAATACCTTAGTAAGAATCTCTAACTGATAAGGACTGTTTCTTTATTGTTATTTTTAACCGCCTCACCATTATCACATCAAAAACAATTAACAGTAACTTCCTTAATATCATCTGACTGTTGTTGTCATTGTTGGTTCTGACTCAAATGACCCTATATACAACAGAACAAAACGCTGCCCAGTCCCGCGCCATCCTCACAGTCATTAGTATGTTTGAGCTCATTGTTGCAGCCACTGTGTCAATCCATCTCATTGAAGGTCTTCTCTTTTTCACCGACCCTCTGCTTTCTAAGTGTGATGTCTTTCTCCAGGGACTGGTCCCTTCTGATAACATGTCCAAAGTACGTGAGATGAAGTCTCACCATCCTTGCTTCTAAGGAGCATTCTGGCTGTACTTCTTCAAGACAGATTTGTTTGTTCTTCTGGCAGTTGATGGTATATTCAATATTCTTTGCCAACACCATAATTCAAATGCATCAATTCTTCTTCAGTCTTCCTTACTCATTGTCCAGCTTTTGCATGCATATGACACAATCGAAAATACCATGGCTTGGGTCAGGCTCAACTTGGTCCTCAAAGTGAAATCTTTGCTTTTTAGCATTTTAAAAAGGTCTTTTGCAGCAGATTTGCCCAGTGGTGGTGCCTTGGTTAAGCACTCTGCTGCTAATCAAAAGGTCGGTGGTTTGAACCCATCAGCTGCTTGGAGTGAGAAAGATGTGGCAATCTGCTCCCATAAAGATTATGGCCTTGGAAACTGTATGGGGAAGTTCTACTCTGTCCTATAGTGTTGCTGTGAGTCAGAATAGACTCAATGGCAACGGGTTTGGTTTGGTTTTTCTATCATCTGGCACTACAATAATGATATATTATCATGTTATGAAATATAATAACGTTATTATCATTTGAAAACGCAAATATGATCAGATCCCTCCAGCAGTGCCAGTGGTGTCATTAGGGTTGGTGTTACTCAGTGTGGTAACTCATGGTGTCACCCACCCCCATGGACCTCCTCCCATACCAGACAATACAGAATCCTTCCTGATGTTTGTTCTGTTACTCAGAAATCGTAATTCCTGTATGTCACTCCTCCTTTTCCTTTAATTACTACTTCATCCTCAAAAAGTTATTGATATAGGTTCCCAAATACTAATTACCACAATAGTGTAGCTAAAACACCAGAAAATCTGACAAAATCAGCAACTAAAAACATTAGCAGCAACAGTGTGTGCTAGTAGCACGCGCAGATGAAATCACGTGATTTGAAGCGTCATTGTCATTGGGTAATAATGACAGCTCTGACCAGAGCACATTAGAAGGTTCAAAAAATAAATGAGCATAGGTTTTTAGCCTTGTAGGTATATTGATACATGTAAGCTGGGCTTATGAAAAAATGTTTTCATTGTTGAATTAACTACAGGGATGTTTTCATAAAAAGCAATAAATTTCTGATGAAACACTGCAGAAAAATTTTATAGACAGTCATTTTGGTGTCACTTCCTCCGACAGTGTCATTCGATATGGTCCCCTGCAACCCTCTAGTTACTCCAGTGACTGGTGCTCCGTTTCATTCCTGGTCATGTCCAAACTCCTCAGGGAGGCCAAAACACCTGGCAGGGCCTGCCCCTGCTGTACTCACCCTGATACACCACACGGTGGCGCACTCCCTCTGGTTCCTTAAACGCACTGCAGTCACTTCCCTGCAACCCCTGCCACTGTTGTCTCCTCCTCCTGGATGCTCCTCTCCCTGAGCTTCTTGCGGCCAGCTCCTTCTCAAACTTCAGGTCTGAGCACAAAGGTCACCTCCTCAGAGGAGTCTTTCCTGACCACGTGTCTAAGTAGGACCCATGCTGCCCGTTCTGCTTTCTACTATAATGCTCTTACATTTCAGGGCACTCAAAGTTTAGGTTACCTCCTTGCCGATTGCCTGTCTCCTTCACTTGACTGGGAGGAACTGGGTCTCTTATTCACCAACGCTGTCCTGGAGTTGGAGTCCCTGGATAGTGTGAATGGTTAATTGCCTGCTAACCGAAATGCTGGAGGTTCAAGTCCACCCAGAGGTGCCTCAGAAGAAAGGCCTGGAGATCTACATCTGAAAAATCAGTCATTGAAAACCCTATGGAGTACAGTTCTACTCTGACACACATGGGGTCACCATGAGTCAGAGTTAAGTCTATGGCAACTGAGACGGGTCCCACAGTTGAGTGCAGAGCTGGACACAAAGTAGCAGCCAACACACACTTCTGAAGGACAGAAAGGAGGAATGAAGCCGTGATCTCGCCCCCTCACTTCCCTTTGTTTTATCTTCCACCCTTTGCTTTTGCTTCTCGCCCACATCCTACCCATCCTTCCAGATCCAGACAAGGCGTCCGCTCCTCTAGGCGGCCCAGGTTGTTCTGTGCTTGCTCCTGTGGTTGTTGTTAGTTGCCGTCGAGTTGGCGTTGACTCATTTTGGCCTCCTGTGCAACAGAATGAAAAGCTGCCAGTCCTGGCCATCTTCATGATCACTGGGATGCTCAAGTCCACTGCTGGCAGTGCATTTTGAGTGCCTTCCAACATAGGGGGCTCATCTTCCAGCACTATATTAGATGCTCTTCTGTTGTGATCCGGAGAATTTTCATTGGCTAATTTTCAGAAGTAGATCACCAGGCCTTTCTTCCTAGTCTGTCTTAGTCTGGAAGCTCTGCTGAAACCTGTCCACCATGGGTGAACCTGCTGGTATTTGGCATACTGGTGGCATAGCTTCCAGCATCATAGCAACATGCAAGCCACCTCAGTACGACAAGCTAACAATGGGTGGTAGAAGCTTCTCTAGGGGAGGCATTTTTATCTGCACCATTCACTTCTGAATCTGCGGTGTCTATAACAGTGCTTGGTACTTGGTAGGTGCTCAGTGAAGATTTCTTGAACGAATATACAAATGGAAATATAAATTCAGGACTGGTGGAAGATAAGGCAAAGATACTAAGTGGATGCGAGTAGAGAGAGGAGAGTAGCTGTTTCCTCACTACTCCTGAGAAACACCTAAGGGAAAATATGGGAAGCACAAACTCCCTAAAGGTCAACCCCAAGCTGATCTCATTGAATACTGTATTCCCAAGGCCCAGCAGAGCTGACACCGACTAACCCATTGCTGTCAAGTCTCAGTAAATTGTTGTGGAATAAATGATTACTTCTGTGAAATGAATGCTAATATTATGTGCCTTGAAATGAATTAGGATTCTCAGCACTCTTCATTTCTTCAGTGAAAGTTCTATTTTAATTCAGTCTGTAAGTTTTTTCAGCCCTGTTTGTAAGAGTGTTGAATCGATTCCAACTTATCAATCAAGGTCAGATTTGTCACTGGAGCATCTGCTTGGTAACATGACTGTGTTTGCATTTTGTGGAGCATTCTATTTTTACCAGCCTGACAAACTAGTGGAGCCCTGGTGGTGCAGTGGTTAAGAGTTAAGTTGCTAACCAAAAAGTACATGCCAGGCCCACGCAAGATCATGATATCATAAATGGAACACCATTATCTTGTGAGATATTAATAGGTTGTCTGTGGGAAAAAAAGGAAGGCAAATTGCACTAAATAAAGATGTATTCAATGCAGGATTGCTCAGATCATTTGTTACACTAATGTGAAACTGTGGTTCCCTAAGAAAGGGTGTCGAAAGATGGTAGCTCCCTAATTTATTTAATTTATTGAGGGAACCCTATTTTTTAAGGGGTTTTTTCATGGAGCACGTTGTAATAATCCAGAGGTTGCCCATTCTGAGAATACAGCTTGGGAAATGTTGTAACCCAACCATTATGATTTTTGCATTTCTCGACCATTAGTTGTTATTGAGTCAACCTCCAAGTCATGGCGACTTCCTGCACAACAGAACGAAGGGCTGCCCAGTCCTGGGCCATCCCATGATCGGTTGCAGATCAGCTTGTTGTGATCCATACAGTTTTCATTGGCTGATTTTCAGGAGTATATCATTAGGCTTTTCTTCCTCGTCCATCTTCATCTAGAAGCTCACTGAAACCTGTTCAGCAGCAACACGCAAACCAGGTGGTGGCTGCCCATGAGGTGCGTTGACCAAGAATGAAAGTCAGATCTCCCGTGTACTTGCTTCTGCAGCGCATATACCCAAACTGGAACAATACAGAGAAGATTAACACGGCCCCTACACAAGGACGACACGTAAATTCGTGAAGCGTTCCTTAATTTTACGAGACCAAATGGGTGGCTCCTGTCCAGAGGCAGGATGAGAAGGTAAGAAGGGACAGGAACTGGTTGAATGGACACAGTGAACCTGGTGTGGAAAGGGGGAGTGTGCTGTCACATTGTGGGGATTGCAACTAATGTCACAAAACAATATGTGTATACATATTTGTATGAGAAATTAACTTGAGCTGTAAACTTTCACCTAAAGCACAATAAAAAATAAATAAAAAGCCAGGTCTCCCACATGGAAGGCAAGAATTCTACCACTGAACCACTCATGCCTCACACTTAACAACTTCGTTTGCTAAACTGACTGCTCTCCCATCATGAAGGAAGGCGTACTCATTCACACTCCCTCCCACACCCCTTAAGAGCAGAAGCAAGAGTCAAGAGAAACTGACATTGACTTGAGTTTGACATGGTATTAAATTTCAGCTTCACCACTAACACTAACGGGTGTATAACATTCTGCAAGTTAATTATCCCTCAGCTATAGTTTTCTCCTCCATAAAAAGAACAGCATCGTACAGGGACTATGTAAGAGTGGTCATACATGATATCTTTAAAAGGGCGTGACAATGTCTGACACGTAGTAGGTGTTATGGGTTGAATTGTGTCCCCCCAAAAGAAATATTGAAGTTCTAACCATGGTACCTGTGATCATAACCTTGTTTAAAAATAGAATCTTTGAAGATGTTATTGGCTAAGTTAACACAAGGTCATCCTGGTACAGAGTGGGTCCTAATCCAATCTGAGTGGTGTCCTACGGAAGAGGGGAAGAGACATAGAGAAACAGACGGAGGGAAAACAACCATGTGAGGGTGATTTATGCTGCAGCTGCAAGCCAAGGAATGCCTGGGGTTACTGGAAACTTGGAGAGACAAGAAGGGATCTTTCCCTAGAACATTTGGAGAGACCATGACCCAGCCAACACGTTAGTTTGGACTTCTAGCCTCCAGAACAAAGAGATAATAAGGTATTTTGTTACAGCAGCTCTAGGAAATTAATGCAGTAGGTGGTAGTTCATTCACTGAGTGTCAGGCACTGACTTAGACTCTGTGGTTGGAGCTGTAAACAAAACAGACAGAAGTCCTGCCCTCGGGTGAGTATAGGCCAGCAGAAGATGATAGAAAATGACAAAGCATGGCTGCCCAGGTAACTCCAAGCTGCAGCCAGAAGTCCAGGGCAGGTGCCATTAACAAAGTCTGCAAATCTGCTGCCAACCTTCTAGTGGAAAAGGAAGTGGCTGTGAATTGTCCTGTGACCGTGAACCCACCTGGACACTGCCTCTGCACTGTGGCAGCAGGTCATATAAACAGGACAGGATGCCCAGATGCCCTCCAACCACCATGATGAATGAACCACACAACAGCAGAACATTGGTGCAGCCTCACACCTTGGTACCTTTAGCCACCCATGCCAGCTGACCCCCAGGGTGAGGGCCAAAGATACAAAATGAGATGAATCAGGCTACACCCATCTGCTTACCTGAATAATGTGATGACGTCTCTGGGTCTGACCCTGCAGACTGATCCCACAGACACCTACAAGTGATACAGCCAGGCCAGGAATCTGTAGCCCCAGTTATTCTGAAGACGCTCCTATAACCTTTGTGAAAACCCTGGCACACACCTCGAAGGGCACATGCTCAGTACCCTGTCTTTGCCTCTGTCTCCCAATGATGCAGCCAAATGGTCCCCTTAGCTGCTCCATCTTCTCCAGCATCTGCTTCTCCAACTGCACGTGCCTCTCCCCCCAGGCTTACAGTACTGCAGCTTTGCACAGGCAGTAGGCATTGAATTGTGCATTCCTGGGGCTTCAGCAGGTCCTGCAGGCTCTTGCCTTCTTCACTCTGCACACCGTGAGCACCCACTCCTGTCCTGCCGCTTCATGAGTCAACACCCACCATGTTCCCGTCATTATGTCATGCTCCCAGCTTGCGAGGGGGATCCCAGCAAGCTCAGGAAGAAAGCAAAATATTTAGCTTGTACTGAATGACGAATATAACTGTGTACACTTCCTTTGTCTATCAATTAGTGGCATATGGTGAGAGCCAAACACGTTAATAAAGTTATAAAGAAATATAAGGGTTAGGGAGACAGTCGCTTCCTCATAGGGATAGGCAGGCGCACAAGCTGCTAACATTGAAATTTCCCGAACAGATTGTCAGAACACCTGCAGACATTCAAGGGCCCTCCTACTCAAGTATGTACTCTCCGCCAAGTCTCTTTCAACAAGCTTGTCATAATTCGGGAAGAGGTATGGTGTTTAGGTTGGAGAGGCAGCCTGGAAACACATCTGATCTCACATGCCAGTCCCAATCAGCTTGTGGGGCTGCTGGGGGTACCGTGCTGAGAAGGATTCTGAGGCTGCCCTTGGGCTCAGCGGGAATGAGGGCAGTGATGGGCAACAGTGTTTGCAGTGAGTTGGGGACATAGGCTGTGTGCACACATTTGATATTACTGATAGCAAAAAAGCCCTAAGGGAGGAACTGAAAACCCTGTGCCTTGAAGAAGTCATTACTCTTTCTTCAGTCTCGGTTTCCTGATCTGTAAAATCAAGATGTGCTATTTCCCTCACAGGGTTATGGTGAAGATCAAGTGAAGTGTATAAACAGTTTTGGGAAGTATAATGCATTTTACAATGTGAGGTGATGTCCGTGTAAAAATATCTACATTCAAATAAATTGTGTGCTTGTGTGCATGTGTATGTGTGTGCAGGTGTCATGTGTGCGTGTGGGTGTGTTTGGTTTCCTAATGCTCTTGAGCAGGGTTTGGCGCAGGATTGGGCAACATTTTGTTCTGTCATACATAAGGTTGTTAGGAGCTGGAGCCCATTCAACAGCACCTAACAACAACAGGGCAAGGATTCTCCACATCTGCACTGTTGACATTTTGGACTGGCTGATTCTTTGCTATGGGGGGATGTCCTGAGCACTGTAGGATGTTTAGTAGCACCCCTGGTCTCTACCCACTGGATGCCAGTAGCATCCTCTCCCTACTCCTGGCTCAACAACCAAAAATATCTGCAGACATTATCAAATGTCCCCTGGGGGCAAACTCACCCCCGAGTGAGAACCACTGCTCTAGGTCAGTAGTCTTCCCCTCTGGATGCACACTAGACTCCTCTGGGGAGTTTTTAAAACTATATTCATGCCAGGTCCTCAGCACCACCCCAGAGAGTGTATTTACAGGGAAACCTGTGAGAGCTGGAACTCGATGGGACTGCCTTATTTTTCCGAGTCTCCCAGTTTACTACCTTCGACGAGGTGCAGATTTACCGCTGCCCTATTGCTCTCTATTAGTGGGCAATATTTGTGTTTTCTTTCTCTGACAGGTTTCCATCTTACATAGGTTCCGGCTGTCGCAGGTTTTACTATGATTGGTTAGGGACGGGTGGGGCGCCAGCGTCTACCCCTGAGTGATTCTAATATGCAGCCAGAGTCGAGAACCACTGCTCTGGTTGGAGAGGTTTTCACCAGGCCACATGGAAATCTTTTCTGAGAGAACATAGGTTGGGGACAGAGTAACTTTCCTGCAAGTTACAGCCCCATGGGTTCCTGGGCCGGGCCACAGGCTGCGCCTGAGGCACCAAGCCACATGCTTTTCTGGGATAGCACAAGGGGAAAATCAGGCAGGTGGTTCCCCACACCCCAACCCAATATGAAATTTCTTTCCTCCCTTCGTGCCCCAAACTCCATGTTTTAATGAGTGTGTGAACAATTTATCCTTTAACAGACGATTGAGGGACTGATGAAGGAGCTCATTAACCATGATGGATATGCGTGCACACCCATCTTGGAGCAGCTTCTCAAAGACAATGGAAGCCTTCACATCCCTGTTATGAAGTGGAGCTAGACAGAAACACAGCAAGTAACATATGAGTGGGTATAAATGGTAAAATTAAAGGCAAAAATTGTTGATGAGCTCGCTCAAGCCTGAAGTATTGAAGCACAATATTAGCCTTAGTGGAAAATAATTTCATGGACGTATGTCCTTCCTGGTACATGGCTTTCCTTAGACTCCAAAAACATTCTGTCTCTCAGTGCCTCATGCTCTCTCACTGGAATTTTCAATAGAATGAACAAACAGAGAGTGGGAGTCAAAGTGAAGGATAATTGAAGTCTTGCCTTGATCTACTGTTACAACTGAATAGGCAGAGAGACAAGTACTCAGGCCAGCACAGACCCTCACACAAGTGTTCGGCTCCTGGGGCTGTTCTAATAACAGTCAGTCAATCAGCATATATTTACCGAACACTCGCCATAAATAAATCACCCAGCTGAGCTCTCCGGGGAAACAAAGATGAATAAGACGCACATCCTGCCCTCCAGGCGTTTGCAGTCTAGTTAAAACCAAAATCGACCTGTTGCCGGTCAGTTGATTCTGACTCATAGCGACAGGGGCCTACAAAAACATAATCAATAAACCGAATGGTGTGAGCTTAGCTCCAAATGAAAGACACCAAAGAAGAATGTGGAGCTGGGGGGTTGCAGGTAAAACTGAAAGGAAATTGAACATGTAGGTCCAGCAAGCTGATCGGTCCCCAGGCATCACTTTGTGTGAACTGATGTGCAGGAGGCTGCTGGTCTCCTGAAGGGTGGAGGGAAGCACAAGGCAGAGAGTCAGGTGGTCTATGTCCTCCTGAGGCCCACAATTGGCTGTGTCCTGAATAAGACATGTGAGTACCAAACCCCCAAAAATCCATTGCTGTCAAGTCAATTCCAACTCATGGCAACCCCATGTGTTACAGAGTAGAACTGCTCCATAGGGTTTCCTTGGCTATAGTCATTACGGAAGCAGATTGCCAGGCCTTTCTTCCGAGGCACTGCTGGGTGGGTTCGAATTGCCAATCTTTCAGTTAGTTGCCAAGCACGAACTGTTTGCATCACCCTGGAACCTTGAAGGGAGTTCAGGCAGAGGTAAAGGGGATGAGGCAGACAGGAGGGATGCAGGATAGTGGCAGGCCCTGTGGGAATTTAGGGGCAGGTGCACTACTTGCCCT